ATGTCATGGTAAAGCCTGACAGATCAATGTGTTTGGAGGGATTTTATATGATATGTGATGCATTGCATACGTTTGTCACATTCTTCTCTGCAAAATAGCACAAGCTAATATTTAGTGGAGAGTGTAAACACACAACTTCTTGCCACATTTTACCAAATGGCTAAAGGTCTGGACTTTTTCTATTCAATTCTAGCACATGAATAAGCTTTGACCTAAACCAATTATCTCAAACTCTAGACCTTGTGCGTCAGTGTACTGCAACTTTTAGATGTTTCCTTAAACCCATAAACTTCATCACCAACAATCAGTCAAGCTCTTCAGAAATCTGCTAATTTTCTGTAGATGTAGTGTAGTTTCTTATCTGAAAGCTTGGTATATTGTTTTAGAAATTAACCCTGATTTAAACTTCTCCAGATGTGTCTGCTGAGTTTCTTGATATTTATGATGCTGTTTATTCACTCATGTTCTCTAACAAACCTCTGAGGCCAAAAACAGAACTTCTGAAGGGAAATGCTTAAACTGAACCAGTTGTTTGGAGGAATCAGAGTGATGAGGCTGACAATAATTGCATTGATGAAAAGTGATCTCTAAATATAAATGAGGAAAATCTCAGTAAAATCTGTAAAACTGTTCTGTAAATATATTCATTGCACTTTTTTCTTCTCCTTTCACTCATGTAGAGTTTAGTGCTGCTAATTCAGGAGCAGTGGTATCAATTTGGTACCAAAGATGAAAAGGAAAAGGCGGTTGAACATACCCTGCCATAACCACTCCGACAAACTTTGTGAGCTTCAGGACAGCGCCCCAGTCATGCACATCCAACACATGTTCTGTGATCAGGAACAGAACTCCGATTGGAAAATACCTGAAACAAAAAAAAAAAAAAAGGTTTAATTGAAAAGGTGTTGCAAATATATTTTAAGTTAACTATTAAGATTCGAAGCAGCTGTGTAAATAGAACTGGATATGTAAAAAAATGTCAACTCAGATATTGTCTGATCTTACCACAAGATCCAGTTGACCATGATTTTTACGGCATCATTGAGGCATTGAATGATCTCCACAGTGGTTTTTGCCATTGGTCCAATCCTGTTTAACAAGATGCCGATGGCAAATGACCAGATGACCAGTCCTATCATGTTGGGTCCATCAACATACCCGCCTATTAGTTTTGTCTCAGTGTCATTCTGCACAAAAAAACACAAGTATGGTGGCTTCAGCTACCTGAAAACAATATTGTAGGAGTACATCACCTTGTTGGACAATGCATGTCACTTTTTCATAAGTAAAAATAAAACCATTGACTTTAATGTATTTAATATGCATATCTTTTGTAAAAGATATGCATCTGTATAATTGTGAAATGGAAAAGCACAAATTCAAGGGTTAAAAACCTTGAATTTGAACCCTTTAAATTATTTTTAAAAAGTAACAAACACAAGGGAAGTGGAGCCAAATGGAATGTAGAAGGGAAACCAGCAAGGAGTGACTGAGGAAGAGGTGAATCACTACTGTTTGGTTGCATGCTGAACAAAGATCTGGGCTGATGAGCTAATGGATTGCAGGTGTGAGGAGAGAAAGCAGAAGACAGGCTGAGGAGAGAGAAAGAGGAAGTGGCACCAGGGGCGAGGGAGAGCAGACTTGAGACTAGGAAATAAGAAAAATAATGAAAATTAGAGTAACCAAGGAAAGGACAAGACACAAAAAATATATAACTAGAAACACTAAGAAGGAATTGATGTAAAAATAGAAACAAAAAGTAGGTATGGAACACAAATAATGACAAAACAAAAAACAAACACAAGATCCTGACAGTAAGAGTGTTTGCAAGGTTGTTTGTCCTAATGTTTGTTCAATGACAATTGTGGCACACCTTACTGTCACATTGGCAAACACCAGCTCCCCATTCAGGCTTTAAATTAGAAGAAACTCAAGGCCATTCATTTCTTCCTCTTCAATTTGAAGTTTGTGGCTGTAAAATGACGACTCTAGAATGAAAGCAAAGATCAAAAGAAAATACTCACCATGTTTGGATCAAGTATGGGGTCAGGTTTTTTTCTTTTAACTTGAACAATCTCAGTCTTGTACTGGGAGAAAAAAAGAAACAGTGCTAAACTCCCAGATTCCAAATGGGAAATTACACAGTGAGCTGTAGGCCAGAATAAAAGCGTACCTGCTCATAGAAAGCCTGGAAGAAGCTCTCTGGAACCATATTCCTATGTGAGTAAAAGGAGAGTCAGGAAAAAACTGAGGTTAACATTAAAGCCATCTCACAAAAACATAGATAGTTGAACTAATAGTAGTCAAACATGATAAAGTCTTAAATTTAGCATACTAACAGAAAATGCAGAACACCATAAATTTTGTCTCACCTTATAAGATCCTGCATGATCACGTGCAAGACGAAGCTTGACACATTTTCTTCGTCAATCTGTACATTCTGTTTTCCCCCACCAGGGTGGATTGTAATAGTCAGAAGTATTGCTGCAACACAAAATATCAGACAGGATGTCAAAAGCAATAACACGGTACAAACTATAGCGGTCTTCATAAATCTATTTTAAATTTACCGAGAATTACGGCTATCATGGTAGAGCCACAGATGAAGGCTCCTGTGATGAAAGCTGTTTTCTTGGACACTTTGGTGTTTAATCCAGTTACTCCTGAGAAAAGAGAGCAGAACCAGAATTTCATCTGAAGGCCAGGAAATGAGCAGTTCATGTATGTCCTAACAATAATCAAAATTTAATTTAGTTCTACTGTTTAGTTATAAGAAATAAATATAAGAATATCAGATGAGTCTAATATATCAATACAGATATAATCACCTGTTTCAATCAACATTTATACAAAATATCCTCAGAAAGATGAGTGAGCATCTTTTCAAGCTATCTCTATTACAATTATAAGTTGATACATTAATATTCAGCTTGCCTGCAACCACGCTTGTCACGATGAGGGGGAGACCAAACATCTGAAGCACTTGTAGAAGCACATCCCCTGGTATTTTGATCCACTCTTTTAATTGAGCAGTTATAGGAACTACGGCCCTCAGGAGAAACCCCAGGCCTAAACCTGTCAGGCAGAAACAAAAGAAAAAAAAAGAAAAAAAATTATAAATAGAATATACATGTATGAGAAAAAAAAAATCAAAACTTCCACATCTAAAAACAACCTAAACTGTTGCATACTTTATACCAGCCTTCATAAATAACTGAGAGTGCTTTAATGCAAATAGTGAATGATATATTTTGCACATATTATTGGAGTTTATTTCAGTTTGTTTATTGGCAACTTTGTACACTTATGCTGATTAAGTAAAATAAAAAGTTGGTCATCAAACAACAATCTGACAGTCACAAACAGCATGTCATTTACACCATACATTACTGCTATTTTTTACATTGCAACGCTGTGAACAATACACAAAAAAAGTAGAAAAAAAAGTAAGTACTTACCCAAGGTGACTCCTACCATGCATAAGGCCTGAAGTAAGCTTTCTTTCATTGTTTTTATTTTACTGTTGTACAGTCAGACAGATGCACTAGTTACTCGCAGCTGTTCAACACATTTGTCACACTTTTCAAAAAATGCCCAGCAAAGCATGTTCGGTCTCTATGGATACCTTGGTGAAATAAATAACACTACTTCAAATTCAAATTCAAAACTATCTTCTTCTTTGAAAAGGGAAATTAAATGTTGTTGTGACTCATATTAATTAAAATTTTGTAGATGGTGATGGCTGTTGGCAGGACAGATCTCCTGTTGTGGCCTTGCACACCACTGTGTCTTATAACTGCTTAAAAATAAACAACACCATGGCGTAAAAACTGTTATGAGTTATTTAGACCACAAATTTGGTGGTATTTCAGATACATTAATTAAAACAAAAACTCATCAAAAATTACACTGGGTTACTAAAAAATATATTTTTGGGAAGTTGTCTATGCTTTTTCAACTGAATTAGAATTATTTTGCACCACTGAGTCCAAAAATGATATCCATTCTTCTCAGGTTGGGTTTTTATTCTAATTTGATTCAAAGAAATCCGGTCTTCTGACTGAATTGTTTACATTTTTGTGACATCAGTTCGTTTTCGTTAATATTTTTCATACAGTGAAGGTTTTAGGACAAAACAATTGTTTTCTAACAGTGCATATCAAATGTTACACACTTAAATTTCTGTGAATCGACTAGTAAACACTGATAACTGATGCAAGTGAACTGAACATTACGTCTTCATTGTGCAAAAGTCTCCATCTCTTTTTAGTCCTGACGAAGTCTCTCCCCCTGCTCATCACTCATTGATCAGATTCTCAGGAAACCAATTAATAGGTGAGAACAAGTCATGCATTTTGATGGTCATGTTGCATCCATCGTTCAGAAAATTGACCCGATTGAGAACAATTTGATTTTTGGATTGAACACATCAAAATGACCCCAAATTTTATGTTAAAAAACAGACAATTATATGGCTGCTGACCAGTGTTATTGACAGCGACTGATATGAAATGTTGTTCTCATGACATGTTTTTCAGCCATATTATCCAGTCCTATTCACACCATTTATACATATCCATGAATACAAGTAATAACAGAAATAAATTACTTGTACTACAAAGATTTTTCTAGAACAGCAGCAGAATGACTGACAATTTATTAAGATAAGTTCACCTCAAGAAATTATTTCATGCAATGTTCATACGTTCATTCATAAAATTGAAAATTTTATTAAATTTAATTATTTTTAAAATGAAAGCAGTACATTTGGTCCTAAAAAACAAAGGGTTTTATTTCCAAAGTAGTATTATATCAGTCAGTGAAACTGTATACAGAGCAGTTGTCATACACTGAAGTGTATCTCAAAATTGCAGAGGTTACAAACAGAAAGACAGGCATTTAACTACTAGACACACAATGCCAAGAAAACAAATAAAACAAGTAATTATTTATATTAGACCTATGAGAATTAAGAAATTGAGTTTTAGAAGACAAGGAAATGCGGCAGCAGATCTTTATTGAGAAAACACTGGAGAAGTATTTCAATAAAGACAAAATACTAGAAAACTAGAAAATGAAGTACTAGAGAACTTGAATACAAATGAAAATGTATGCAAACAAGGAAATTATCAGCTCAGACGCCCCAGGATGTTGACGTCCCAATCCTGAGGTTTCAGCTTGATGGTTTTGATATGGTGCTGAGATGATCCACTGACGAAGGTGAAATGGATGTTGAAGGGGAGGGAGTGGCGGGGGGGTTGATCTCGTCATTGGGCTCCAAACATAGCAAGTCCAACTGCATCTGATTGATGGAACGAACCCTAACAGGCAAAATGGAAAAAAAAAAAAAAAAAAAAACATGGTCAATATCGATCTGGACAAACTGTGGCTAAAGTACCCCATATCTTTCCACTTGGTGGAAATTTCTTATAACAATCTATTTTCCAGATTTATCTTCACCAGAATTTGTCGCAATGTTTTATTAAATATTTCAAAGGAAAGTACGACAAACTGGAGACACCCTGAGCACTTTTTAGATCATTGTTATGTAGGTCTAGAAAGTGAATAATGCACAGACCATTAACACAGTTCAGAAAGAGATGTGCACAATGTTGACAAAGTATTCACTTGTCTCCCTTCACACATTCATATCTGAGCAAAATCCTAATCTCAATCAATGCGGTTACATATGATGTGTGCATACCGGTAAAGTTCTTATACCCCAAACTTACTCATCAATGTCATGGAACCTGCTTTGTGCACTGGTGCAAAGTTATGTGAGAACAGACAGAAGCCAATTTCAAATATGCAAAAATGTGATGAAGCATTAGGAGTTTCTTTTACTAAAGCAAATGGGCCTAGTCTGGTGAATGGTCCCAAATAATGAATCCCACCCCGCCTTCCTGTACACCTCAAACACTGTTGACAGACAAGAGCAGCTGTCCCGACCTCTCACAAACTCAGTTTCAGGACATCAAAGTGTATTATCATTTTCACAATAATGAAAATGTTAACTCTGCAGAGTAAAACATTAAAAGCAGGACTGAAAATACAAAAATGTGTTCAGAAACAGAAACAAATGAACAATAAAACAATAGAAATAAAAAGTATATTTGAACATTGTATCTAATTCATGAATAGAACAGTTCCTGCTACAATCAGAGAAGGTTATTCAGCTCAGCAACATGTGGCATTAAAATCTGTTGCCAAGTCTATAGGTTTGATCTTCTGTTGTTCTTTGTCTTCTACTTGAAGATGGAGAACTTCCATCTTCAACTCTCCATTCAGTTTTGACCAACAGCCCTAGCCAACAGTCCATTTGAATTTCTTTCTATTTTATGTATGAAAATTCATAAAATGGACAGATAACTGTTCTATTTTATGATAACAGTCTCTAAAATAGACTGTTATCGAGCTGAATTAGACTACTATTATAGTCTATTTCATGATAGACCAAAGCTAAAACAGATCATGTGCCAGAGGTGTTTCTTTTTCTTTTTCTTTTCTTTCCTGAGACAACCGGGATGGACTGAACTCATATAGCGCTTTTCCAGTCATTTTGACCATGCAAAGCACTTTACACTAGAGTCACATTCACCCATTCGCACTCACAAACGCACACACATTTATACACTGATACGCAGACTGGTAGGCAATTTTGGGCTAAGTAAATTCTGCAGAGTTAAATCAATGCTATGCCAAGTCTATTTGGTCCTTATCAGAATTGGTGTTTTATTTTAACTCTTTTCAGTTATTTCAACAAAAGTTTGAGTAGTTATAACTTTTTCAAGTGTTAAAACTACTTAGTTTCTTGTTGAAATAACTGAAAAGAGTTAAATTAACACCAATTCTGATAAGGACCAGATAGACTCAGCGTAGTGTTGATTAACTCTGCAGAATTTACTGTGCCTTGCCCAGAGGCACATCGACATGTGGCAAGAGGAAGCTGGAATCAAACCTACAACCTTCCAATCGCAAGACGACTACTCTGCCATACAAACACAGTCGCCCTAGTGTTAATTGAGGGTGGAGAGGGAGCAGCCAATAATTTGATGGAAGCGATATCAACCGGAGGATCTTCTTGCAGGCGGCTGGCATATGTAAATACACTCAGAGGTAAAGGACCAGGAGGGAGTCTAAGGGGAAAGTCTTTGCTGCACCTTTTTTGTTACTTTTGATGCAGGATTTAAAACTCCAAACAACACGTCCACACTGGTCTAGAGTCCAGCAGATGAAATATATACAGGTGGTATCCTATCATGGTACCATGCTCAAATTCACAGTTTCTTCTGAGAGTGACCTATTTGTTCAGCCTCATGTATGAAGTCCACTGTAACCCCTGAATTCAATGTTTTGGATTTCATAAGCTAATACTTTTGCCAATGTGGTGTCTTTCGAAATGAAAAGATTGTTTTATAATTAAATGTACCTTATGTCATTGCTCTCCTCTTTCAGCTCATTCTTGCACATTTGACTGATGACAGCTACACCAAAGCAGTCACTCAGTACATTCACCATGGTGGAAAAATGGTCTCTAAAGAGCACAAAAGAAGAAAAGAAACACACTGTCAGACTCAACTATGTTTTTCTTGAAAGTTTTCTCTCTCTTACTCTACAAAAACCAGATGGACCAGCTCTTCTCCAGCTCATGCCATCCCTGTTAACCACATCCATCTCAAAGGGTAATTATATCAATCACTGCGAAACATGCTCTCTACACAAGTAACGGGTCCTAAAACCCTTGTTTTGCAAGTTAAAAATCATGTCTTGGTCAAAGCTATCCATAAGTGTTCTCATAGCAAATCAGCATAACCCCATCAAGAATGACTGGACAGTTTGATTAAAGTACTGTTTTGAACAAGAGTAGTGGACTGTGAACATCAAGTTGAACTTACATAAACCACTCAAAGGCTATCAGAATGGACACACCCCTTGCAGGCAGTCCCACAGCTGTCAGAATCAGGATGGTGCTTGCAGGTCCCAACATCGGGACACCTACAGCTCCAAAGCTGGCAACAGCACTTGTCAAACTGCAAACCAAAGATTGCTTCCATGAGCATTTCTATCTCAACTACAACACACTGCTGTATCAAAGCCTCTCCTTTTAACAATCCCAGAATTCACATTGTCTCAATTCCAGACACATGTAGGAAGCAGCTTACCCAATGGAGATTATAAGCTGGGCATTCAGGTAGATTTGAGATATCTGGGCAATAAAGACGGCAGCGATCACTTCGTAGATCGCCATCCCATTCATGTTGATGGAGGAGACGATGGGCAACATGAGACGGCATAATCTCACATCAACCTTCATTTTCTCTTCACAGCATTGAAGGGTGATAGGCAGAGTGGCAGAGCTTTGGTAAAAAGCACATTCTTTATTGGTGCACCATTTGTATGTATACGAGAAAAGTGTCCATCTTTGACAACAAACAAACTAACAAACCTGGATGCCATGGTGAGAGCGTTTATCAAAGCCTTGTCAACCTGCTGGAAGACCACAAAAGGGTTCTTTCTGGTGAAAATAAAATAAACCAAGGGAAGAACAATGAGGGAATGAATTCCAAACCTGAAAGAGACAACAAAGTCATGCTCAGTGTTAAAGACATCCAAAGCAAAACTATTCACTAACATTCAACTTTGACATTAATGGAAACAAGCAAAGCTAGTTTCCACGAGCTTTGCTTGTTCATAGAACCACTATTTGTCACATTCTTCTTTACAAAAGAATAGAATAAAATAGAATAGCATAGAATAGAATAGAATAGAATAGCATTTATTGTCATTGAACAGGATTCAACGAAATTTCTATTGCAACTCCCGTGCAAAAAGTCAAAATATACAATATTAAATAAACAAACACACAATAATAATAATATATACAACTAAAATTAACTAAAGGCACTCAACACACCCAAAGAAGAAGCAGCAGGTCCAATTATGGTAAAGTGCAGATGATGTGACAGTGCAAGTGCAGAACAATATGGCTGTGTGGGGGTGGGGGGGGGTGTATGTGAGGTTATGATATGTGTGGGAGGGGGCGGCAGGGAGTAATGGCTCTGACGGCTGTGGGGAAGAAACTGTTTCTCAGTCTGTTTGTTGTAGTCCGTATATTCCTGTACCGCTTGCCTGATGGCAGCAGCACAAACAGACTGTGGCCCGGGTGACTGGAATCCATGGCTATGGATCCAGCTCTCTTCTTGACCCGGCCTATGTAAATAGAGTCCAGGTCCGGGAGGGGGCATCCCACAATGCCTTGTGCTGTTCTCACCACCTGTGTCAGTTGTTTCCTCTCCAGTGCTGTGCAGCTACCATACCACACAGTCACGTTGAGGCAGAGGACGCTCTCGATCGTTGCCCTGTAAAAGTTCACGAGCAGCCGTGAGGAAAGTCCAGCACGTCTCAGTTTCCTGAGGAAGAAGAGCCTTTGTTGTGCTTTCTTCACCAGGTGGGAGGTGTTGGTATTCCAGGAGAGGTCAGACGTGATGTGGAGGCCCAGGAACTTGATGTTGTCCACACGCTCCACCTCTTCTCCATCTATGAGAAGGGGAGTGTGACCCGTCCTCCTGGACCTTCTGTAGTCCACAATGACCTCCTTGGTCTTCCCTGTGTTCAGCACCAAGTTATTGGCTGAACACCACTGAGTGAGCTGCAGAATTTCCTCTCTGTAGTGGGTCTCGTTGTTGTCTGAAATGAGACCCACTACTGTTGTGTCGTCGCGCGAACTTGAGACTGGTGGGGTGGATGGCAACGCAGTCGTGTGTAAACAGGGTGAAGAGAGCTGGGCTGAGAACACAGCCCTGCGGTGTGCCTGTGTTGAGGACCAGTGGGGACAATGTTGAGCCACCTATTCTCACCACCTGAGGCCTGTTGGTGAGGAAGTCTCTGATCCAGTGGCACAGTGAAGCAGGCAGCCCCACCTTGAGTAGCTTCAGCACCAGCTTGTCTGGGATGACGGTGTTAAATGCTGAGCTGAAGTCTACAAATAGCATCCTGACGTAGGTGTTGGGATGCTGCAGATGGGTCAGGGCTGTGTGCAGAGTGATGGAGACAGCATCCTCTGTTGACCGGTTCGCTCTGTAGGCGAACTGGAGGCTGTCCAGGTCTGCAGGGATGAAGTGTCTGATGTACCTCAGAAGAATCCTCTCAAAGCACTTATGATCACCGGGGTCAGAGCGATGGGCCGGTAATCGTTCAGGCTGGTGATGGTCGTCTTCTTCGGTACAGGGATGATGGTGGAAGACTTGAGACACTCAGGAACCATGGTGAACTGCAGGGACAGATTTTCAGCATCTGGCCTGACACCTTGTCCGGTCCTGTAGCTTTGCGGGTGTTGATCCTCCTCAGGGTGGACGTCACCTGGTGCTGCTGCAGGACGAGAGGCTGGTACTGCTCTTCCAGTCGGGGTAGATGTACAGCTTCTCTGCTGCCGAACTGTGTCAAAGCGGGCAAAGAAGCTGTTTAAGGTGTCAGGCAGGGTGGGGTCGCGGCTGGTCAGCTGAGTGCTGTGTTTGTAGTCTGTCATGGTCCTGATGCCTCTCCACATGCTTCGGGGGTTGTTGTTGATGAAGTGTTCCTCAATCCGCTGTTTGTACTGGAGCTTGGCCTGCTTAATTCCTTTTTTCAGTTCCGACCGGGCCCTGCTATAAGCCAACCTGTCTCCAGATCTGTAGGCAGCATCCCGGGCTTTCAGCAGGGCCCGTACTGTGCTGTCCAGCCATGGTTTCTGGTTTGGAAACACTTTTATGGTCTTAACAGGGAGGACAGCATCGGTGCAGAACTGAATATAGGACAGAACGGACGATGAGTATTCCTCCAAGTCTGCTCCGTCCCTGAACACACTCCAGTCTGTGTGCTCAAAGCAGTCCTGAAGTGCAGAGGAGGCCTCCTCAGTCCAGACCTGAACTATTCTGGTGGTCGGCTTAGTTCTGCAGGCCAGAGGCTTGTAGACATATGCTTCACAACTTGCCACAGATTATCAAATGAATATAGGAATATACTGTACTTCGATTAGGCAATTCTAGCACATGAATACGCTGCAATGTAAAGCTTTCAATTCTCTCTTTAGCTGCAGGTTTAGTCGTTGTGCTGAGAGAAGATGGATCTTCTCTGCCCTTTACAGACCTTTGAAGACCTTTACAAACCTGCCTTTTACAATTAGTGAAAAGGGCAGACAAGTCAGCACTTCCTCTCTGACATGTCTGCTGAGTTTCTTGGTCTTCATGATGCTTTTTGTTCACTATTGTTCTCTGACAAACCTAACATGGTTAGGCCAGTTAAGCCCCTTTTCCATTAAACTGCCTCTAACAGGTACAGTACTGGTCTGCCCTGCCCAGATTCACTTTCTTTAGAAAATTCGGTGCAGGTCTGCCTGGCTACTGTCAGATTAGTGTACCTACTTTAGGATAGTACCATCTGTAACTTACCAGGTACAACACTAAATGATTTGATTGACAGCTGACTACATTCTTTAATTGGTTCACAATTACCTCATGGAAAACTCCAAAAAACCATAACAGTTTACCTGTGGACCACGAACATACCGTCTGCTATCAGACAGCTGCTAAGTACAGATTAGCAATTCTAAATTTAATCACAAGCAGGGTCAGGAACAAATGCATTAAGTTTTGAAGCATAATGACTGTAATTTAGCAGCTTGTCTCTCTAAATAATGGGAAGCAATAAAGAGAAATGGTGCAGCTGTGCTTAGCTTTCTGACGAGGCTGCAATTTGGCACTGAGACTACATAATATTAGCTATAGAGTGATGCAAATTATATATATATATATATATATAAAAAAAGTTCATGCATGAACAGTCGGTTTACATCTTTTGACTGCTTTACCTAAATCCAAAATGTTCCACATTAAAAAAAAAAAAAAAATGCCAGAATGTATTTACGTTTATATGTATGGCAAAATAATCAGCTGATCCGAGTCTTTATCATTATGTTTGGGGCAGCAATTTCTATTTAATTTTTATAAGGTAAAATTAAATATTTGGGTTTATTTGTGTCCATCAGAACCACAACCTCAGGTTCTCCATTGTTGAGCACTGCTACAATCATCAGTGGAGAGTTGATCACAGCCCACCCACAATAACGAGAAACAGAGCATATAATGGAGAAGTTTATTACCTAAGGTAAAACTGAACCGCTCATTTACTGATTAGCGCACGACTTACCAGAGGAAAAGTGCTAACTATGACAGGGAACATAACTTTATATCAGTCACGTCTCAGTGCCATTTTGCGCCAAAAAACAAATTAGGCTGAATGACAGAGTTTGGTTGGTTAGGCCTAACAGAACATTTGAAGGGAACTGCTTTAACTGGACTTGACAGTTGAGGATAGCAGAGTAAATAGATTGACAATGATTGTATTCATAAGCACTGATCTTCTTCCTGAAATTAGTGATACTGTTCTGTAAATACATTCAACTGAATTTCTTTCCTTCTTAGTTAGAGTACAGTACCTCACCAGCAGTGGTAAATTTGGCAACAAAGTTGAAACAGACACAGTGGACATACCCCATAAAAACGACCATTATAACCTTTCCAAGTTTAATGAGAGCACTCCACTGTTTGATTTCCATCACGTGCTCTATCATCAGGAAATAAATTCCAATTGGCATGTACCTGGAACAAAAAACAGTAAACATAAACAAGATTAAATAAAACAGACGTTTCAGATATATTTTAACTAACTGTTCATTAAGAAAGGAAACTTTGTCCCTTGTAGATACAAAAACTGAAACCACATTTTAATCATACAGAACTGATGATGTACTCTTGTGCTTGACCTGAACTAATTAAGGGAATGACTTTATTTTAAAAAGCAATCTAATTTTATTAAAGAGTAAAATTATGTGGTGTTTGATCTTACCACAAGACATACTTGAATATGATTTTTATTGCGTTGTTAATTTCTTTAGCGGCCTTTACAGTGACTTTTGCCCGGGGTCCCACCCGGTTTAAAAGGATGCCGAAGATGAAGGACCAGACGATCAGTCCTAGCATGTTGGCTCCATCAGCATAACTGCCCATCATTCGCAGCTCTGTGTCATTTTCCGACTGGAAACACAAATATGCTGACTGTAACTCCAGGAGCAGTTTTGTAGGTGTACCACACCATGTTGGAAAATGCATATCACTTTTCTGCAATAAGTTGCACTAAAGGCTTAAACTTTGATGTATTTGATTTGGATTTATTTTTTGAATGACCAATCCAAAATATTGCAATAGTTGTGAAGTGAAAAGAAGAAAATCCAAGGGTTAAAAAAGACTTTCCATATAAAAAGAACAATAATAAAAAATAAATGTGTATTTAGCTAAACTTTCTGTAACCCCTTCAGTAGCCATGTACATGTGTGTTAATTTGCTTTCCTTCTGCAGAGCCGGGAAAGCCGCTCAGACATTTTATGGGTAGATGGATGGAGTTAAATTTATAAAAATATAAGTTGAAAATTAGGACAGATCTTCCGCTTGCAGAAGAACACACACTCTAAACATAAAACCAGATCTACAATGGAATATTTCAGGTGAAATATCCATCTATTGGATCCATGTAGTCAAATCCAGCCCTAAATACATCAGAAAATTGGGGGCAAGATGAGAAAATTTCCCAAAAAACATTATTGTTGGGTTAACTGGTCTTGTCTTAACCAGTGAGTATGAGTATTTGGATGGTTGTTTGTCTCTGTCATTCTCTGATATGCCCCTCTCTTCAATAGGATGGCACAACTGCCCTCCTGTGTGTTGAAAATAAACACTACTTCTCCTTTCAGGTCTTAATTTAGAAGAAATTTAATCCAACCCATCCTTTAACTTCCTATTCACTATCAAGTACTTTTTTGTGTTTGTTGATTACTTTAAATTGAAACAAAATATATTGAAGTTTATGATTGTCATGTGACGTGAGAAAAATCTCCAGGGTTATAAAGACCTTTGGCAAGTGCTCTAGAACAAAAACAAAGTTCAGAAGAAAATACTCACTATTAGTGCTGACCTAAAGACAATCCTATTGTCTATTGGATCGACCTCAACAACTTCTGTCTGGTACTGGGAGAAAACATAAACTGTTTGGAAACTTTCCAAATTCAACATGAAAAGTTACACAGTAAGTTGTGGAGCTGAATAAAAACATACATGCTCGTAGAAAGCCTGAAAGAAGTTCTCTGGAACCAAGTTCCTATGCAAATCAAGGGAGAGTCAGACAAAAAAAAAAATTGAACTTGTAAACGTTAAAGACAAATAAAAAACATGAGCATGTTATTTTCACCACTATGAGTTCCACCTTAGGAGTTTCAAATTATGAATTTCATATCATAATTTCACATAAATCAAGCTAGTTTTAATAGTTGTCAGAGACAATAAAAATCTCTATTTTTACTTATTTATGTAGAAAACTATAACCAAGAATTTTGTCTAAATACTTATTCTCTCACCTAACAATATCCAGGAAAACCAAATGCATGGAGAAGTCCTGGACATGCCATTTGGTTTGTTTAACTGTGTCCCCACCAGGCTTAATCAGGAGCACTAGAGTCATTCCTGCAACACAGTCTCAGGCAAAATATTAGACACAATACACACAGTGGAGGTCTTAATGTACCTATTTTAAAAACTGTTAAAGGTTACCAAGAGTTATAGCCAGAGCGGTGGTGCCACTAATGTACATTAATGTGTAGATGGCTGTTTTCCCAGACAAGCTGGTGTTTAAATCAGTTACACCTGAAAAAAGAGATGAGAATGATACGTTCACCTGGTGCCAGAGCAATGAGCAAGACAACACACCAGTTCATGACTTTCTAAGTGAAAGCCCAAATGTCCTAACTGATCTTCATCTTTGAACACTTTTTAGTCACAAGAAGTAAGTGGTGAGAGTTTGAGCAACATTTACAGAGAGCATCCAGAAAAGGTGAGTATCCAGATTCATATTTAGCTTGCCTGCAATCACGCTGGTCACAATGAGGGGCACAGCGAACATCTGAAGCAGGTTTAGAAGCACATCTCCTGCCATTTCAATCAACTTTTCTGCAATCTTACTGATGGGAAAACGAACTTTGAACAAAACCCCAGTGCCTATCCCTGTGAGGGGAAAAAATGACGAATATAATATATGTAAAAAAAAAAACAAAAAAACAAAAACATCAACCTTATAAAAGCCATAAGAAACAATTGGGAGTGTTTTAATGTAAAATAATAAACTACATACTGTATTTCGTAGAGATGTTTTTCAAAACGATTTTTTTTTCAGTTTATTGTGTATAGTTCTGTTGTGCTGATTGATATTAGCCAATACTTGGGGGTTGAAAACGTGTGAAAATGCCTTCACACAACAAACTTAATATTACATTTATGAAACAAGTACTTAGGTTGCTTGGCAGTACTTGGCAGTTGCATTTAAGTCTTTCCAATTGCTACATCCATGTTTTAACATGAATACGCTAGTTTAGATAAAGCAAAATGTCTGCAGGCAAAGCAATATTCTACATATCTAGGGACAGAGAAACTAACCAGTGAAACTTGCTCAATGTTTACTAATTTTTTCCTCTGTCCTCTCATGAAGAAGCAAATGTAAAGCTGTGACCGACAAATCAGTCCACATTCAAACTTCAGCTACACCTCAATAGTGTCAGAAGAACATTCATTAAAAAGACATTAAACATTTCTCTAGCTACGAAGCTTTCACATTTTAAATATATTTTCACTAATTTGAGTTAAACATGCTATATGGCATGGCGGCTGGAGGTTATGTCAGTTTAACTGCTAACCTCCAGCTCATGAAGCAGCAATAGAAATAGGATAATCAGCAGCAGAAAAACATGTCAGTACTCACCCAAGAAAATCATACACAGAGTAGACCTCTGAAATAAGTCGGCTATTAATCTCATTGTTTCACAGTGGTCCAATAAGCTGAGGCAGATGGGGCAGTCTCTCACACTTGTTGAAGACAATCAGTTGCTGTTTTGTGGCCAATGCTGACATTTGTTCCCTTTTACAAAAAATGCCCTGAAAAACATATTTGGTCTCCATGGAAACCTTGGTAAGATATATGACATAACCTGAATACTTTGGAATTATTTAAAAAAAAAATACATTGGGTTTCTAGTCATTTGGTGTGCTTAAAAATCAATCATGTATTGATTGAGTCAGTGTGATTGATTAATTTGTCAAATATTATTGTTTAAGTGATTTAAGCAGTTTCTAGTTTAAGATAACCTTGTTGTTCATTTTGGCAGCGAGTCCTAAATTCAGTTTCTTGGAAAATACAAAGAAAAGCATCTCTGGTCTCCAGGGATACCTTGATTTTTGTTCAAAAACAATATAAAATTGTATACTAATTTAAGAATAATAGTAAAATGATAGTGTGTTTCTAATAATATATCTACATCTCTAAATTGTTTAGTTTATGGGGTGTTTTTTATTAAATTTGAGCAGTCTGAATAGCATTGCTTCCTATGCATTTAGGCTTTAACATAATTGCAATTGGACTGAATTGCAGAACAACCAAATTCCAGAACAGCTTCATCCCTCATGCTATAAGACTACTAAACTATTAATATTTTAATTGAATATATTTATATTAATACTTTTTTATTATTCCTTATTTATTGTGTTATTATTATTATTATTATGGGATCCTTGCAATGACATTTTGCCCAAAATATACATTTTAAGTGTATCAATGAATGGAAATAAAATCTGTCTATATCTATGTCTACATTCCTGGAGAAATGTCAGGATGTTTAACTGTGGTGGAGGGACCAGGATAACATTTCTTTTGATTTGAGAGAATCTATTCAATTCAAAATTTAAATTCTGATGTTCATGCCCCAACAAATGATGGCAGAAGAGATGACGCTCTTAACAACAGACTGATAGAAGATCTGCAGCATCTTGCTGCAAACCTTGAAGGATCTTAGCTTCAATAAGTCCAGTCTGCTCTGAACCTTCTCATAGACGCGTCACTGTTGCGTCTCCAGTCTTTTTCATTAAACTTTCATGTTCAATGAATTAGAATACTGAAAAGTTTTAACTGCTTAAGTGAAATACATTATATAGATTAATCATGCCCAGACTGATGTTAAGTTTTAATTTTGTCACATTCATTTTCTGGGCGATTTTAGAGAATTTATGGAAGAAATTGAATAATTTATCTCCTTTTTCATTAAGCTAATTAGAAGAGATAGTTTCATGTAGTCTTTTGTCCATTTATAAAACTCCCTCTGCTGGTCAAAGCCTGCTTCTCAGCCAACTCTTTTATAAATTAGTAATACAAAAAAAAAAAAATAAGACTGTCCTACAACAGCAACAGAATGACTGGCAATTTGTTAAAATCAATTCTTTTCACAAAAATGATTTTATGTAATGTTCATGCATTTACACATAAAAATTAAATGTATATTCAATTCAATTGTTTTCAGTCTGAAAGCAGTGAACATGTTCATACAACATAAAGGATTACATTCACAAAGTATTGTATCAATCAACTTGTATATTGAGCACTGGTCATACACTCAAGTAAAATGCAAAGTTACAGAGGTTAAAAACAGAAAGATGAGCATTCAACTACTACAGACACACCATTAAATTATCTGTGTAACTAAATAAAGTAACAGGTCAAGACCAATTATTGGTAAAAAAACTGAGAATTCAGAAGTGGGAGAAAACCAATTACAGAAGATGAGGAACTGTGGCAGCTCATGAGTGAGGAAATGCTGGAGAAATATTTCTGTCCTACTTGTATCTTACAAGTAGAAAGAACAAATTTAGAAAAACAAAAAAGACAATACATAGTAAACTTTCAAAAGCAAAAATAATAAATCTGCAACAGCAAATTATCTTCAAACACAACAATAATGAACAACTTATTATGTTGTTCATGAAGAGCAATACATTTGGAATAGAGATCACTTAAAAATAGCAAAAACAGAAACAAAATAGAAACTAAATACAGATCAATAAACTGATAAGGCACAATTGTATTAGAAATAATTATACACAAACAAGAAAATGATCAGCTCAGACATCCAACGATGGTGGCATCCCTGTCCTGAGGTTTTAATATATCAGAGTTAATGTGGTGCTGAGATGATCCTTCACTTCGGTGAAATGGATCCTGAAGGGGAGGCGGCACGAGACGGGTTGAGCTGTAGATCGGCCTCCAAACAGGTTAAGTCCAACTCGAGCTCACTAGTGGGACGGACCTTGTCAATGCTAACATGTAAAATGAAAAACATGGTCAATAACACTGGTCAACAGCCAAAAAGTTGTCTGGGCTTTTTCAACTCTTTTAGGGCCATTTTGATGTGTTAAACCCAAAAATGACATGAGCATCAAAATGTGCGACTTGTTCTCACATATTTATCAGATTTCTGAGAATCTGGGATCAATGAGTGGAGAGACTCCATCAGGACAGAGAAGAGACGGAGCATTTTGTACAATGCAGATGCATTGTTCATATGTACTCACCATTACCAGTGTTTACTCTTCAATTTAAAGAAATCCAAGTTTGTAACATTTAATTACTACATTCTATTAGAAAACTTTTTTTTTTCTCCTGCAATCTTTTTTGAATGAGAAATATTACCAGAAATGAACCGATAATGTCACAGAAATCATACTTCTCTAAATCAAATTGGAATAAAAACCTAATTATTCTAATTGAGAAAAATGGATGACACTTTTGAATTCAGCGGTGCAAATAATCCTAATTCAGTTGAAACAAACATAGACAACTTCCTAAAAATATTTTTTTGTAACCCAGTGTAATGATCTGGACAAACTGTGATTAAAGTACTCTATATCAGTAAAAATAACAAGAGCTGCTGTCCTGGCCACTGACAAACCCAGTTGTTAGGACACCAAAGTGCATTATCATTTTCATAGTAAAAATTTCAAAGTAATAAAAATGAGAAGCTCCTTTTGCAGAGTAAATGATAAAAAGTGGGACTAAAAATACAAAAAAGGTTTTTAAATAGAGAAAGAATTCAATAATAATAAAAAAGGATATTTATACAGTCTGACAATGTAGGACAACTCATGCTACATTTAGAATAGTCATTTGGAATTTTTCTGTAATTCAACAATAATCTGTGGTATTAAAAACATTTACCAAGCCCGTTTGTTCGACGATTTATTGTCCTCCATTTTCCCCACATTTGGGAACCACTGTTCTACTAGAAGGCAGAAGTTGCAATAGCTGTGTTGGATTTTTAATGTATTTTTTATGATTCTTGCCTCAGATAACAAGATTGGTACATTTTGTTTGGGGAAGGAGCACCAAATAATTTAATGCCATTGTAATTACTAGTTGGATGATCTTCTTCTTTGCAGCCTTGCATATGTGAAGACACTCTCAAAGCAGATGGAAAGGGCCAGGAGAAGCTTTTTGGAGGTCATTTGTCTTACAGAGTTTAGGGAGGAAAGTGTTTTTTTTTTGTTTTTGTATTTTTTTTTCTCGTTTGAAGCAGGATTTGAAACTCTAAACAACACATCCACACTGGTCTAGAGTTCCTTTTACAAAATGCAATGACTGGAAGTAGTGCACAGTTGGCATCCTATCATCTCAGAGCACCCTATTTGTTCAGGCTCAGTGCTGGATTTCATACGTGGAAGCCACTTGAACACCTGAAGTCAGTCATTTGGATCGGGATGCTTTTGGCAACACTATGTCTTTGCAAATAAACACATCATTTTAATGATTTCATTTACCTTGCTGGTTTGTCCAGGTGCTTCAGCTCATCCTGGCACATAAAATTGATGATAACAACACCAAAGCAGTCTCCTATTATATTCACCCCGGTGAGGATATGATCTCTAAAGGGTACAGAAGAAGAAAACAAATATGTTATTAGACTCAACCATGTTTTTCTCAAAAATTTTCTTTCCCTCACTCTACCACAGCCAAAAAAAAGAAAAAACAAAACTACATGCAGCACAGGGAGCCAGGGCAGAACAAAAACTTGAATCCAGGTGTAAAGACAACAAGGTATTAAAAAGGTAGAAAGAGGAGAAGAAGTATATAAATACTGGGAGATTGAACGCTGGAACAATTGGATGAGGCTGATGGCTAACAGGTTGCAGGTGTGAGGAGAGAGAGAATGGGAAAACCTACCTCACGACATGCCAGTTAAAAATTACGACTTGGAAGAAACTCACTTGCAAGTTTCATGATTGCAAATCAGCGTAACTCCATCTAGATTGACTACATGGTTTGATGATGAAAGGACTGTTTAAGTAAAAGTGGTTGACTCTGAGTTTCAAGTTGAACTTACAGAACCCATTCCACTACGACCAGCATGGCAGCGTCCCTGGCAGGCAGTCCCACAGCTGTCAGAATCAGGATAGTGATCACAGCTCCTGTTGCTGGGATTCCTGCAGCTCCAAATGTGACAATGGAAGTAGTCAGGCTGCAAACAAACACAATCTCTATTAGCATTGCTGTCTAAAGTACAGCACACAACCATAATAAAGCCTTTCCGTGGAACTCAAATTCATAGAAATTGAACTGCTGTTTCCTTGGCACTTCAAGAAAACAGCTTACCCAACAGCAATTATCTGGCCAGCATCCAGCGTGATGTCATTCATCTGGGCAATAAAGACAGCAGCGATCACTTCGTAGATCGCGGTCCCATTCATATTAATACTGATGAGAATGGGCAACATGAGACGGCAGAGTTTCCCATTGACCAATAGGTTCTCTTCACAGCATTGAAGGATGACAGGCATACTGGCAGTGCTATAGCAGAAAACACATCCTTTATTGGTGCACCGTTCATACGAGAAAACTGGATAAGTGTCAACAAACAGAACATCTTACCTGGACGCAATGATAAATCCAGTCATCCAAGCCTTAGAGGTATTCTTTAGGATGAGAAAGGGATTCTTTCTGACAAGCGCGAAGAAAACCACGGGAAGAATAATCAAGGAATGGATTATTAGCCTGGAAGAGACAATAGTCACGTTCAGTGTTGAAGATATGCAATGCAAAAGTATTGGTATTCAATAGTTGTCACAGTTGAATACCAAAAGTTGGTATTCAACTGTGACATTTTTATGTATTTTGCAAAAATAATGATAAATAATAATTAATTTGACTTAGAATACATTTTATGTCTTGAGATCTCAAAGGGCACACAGTAAAACCAGAGTTCAATATTTAGGGGAGATTTTATATAAAATTATAACTGAGAAAACGTTCTCTTTTTCTCTCTCCCTTTTTTTTTCACATCAACACATTTGCGCTCTTTCATTTAGGAAAAAAAATATTTTGAAAAGAAGAGGTGTGATTCGCGATCCTGTCATCTTCACGGTGACTTGGAATTAATTATCAGTTGCACTTTGGGAATGCAAGGCTGTGGAAAAAAATAATGCTGAAATTGATTACTCTTTTTTTAATAAAAGAGAGCAAGAGTGTCGATGTGAATAAAAGGAGCGAGAAAAAAAGAACGCTTTCTCTTCTGGGTTACAATATGTTAACACAATAGCGCATTGTTGTAAAGTGGAACGAAAATAATGCCTGGTTGCACAACAATATCTATCAAGATGTTTGTGCACCACTTTAGAACAACTTATTGCTGCAGAACCAGCTGCATCTTGTTGGGTTCTGTCTCCACCAGCTTTACGTTTTCGTAGAAACCTTTTGTTCTCTGCAAAAAAGGACTATGTTCAAAATGGATGTTGAGTGTGAACACAAAGCTTCACAGTTTGCCACAGATTATCAAATGGACTTAGGCCGGACTTTGACGAGGAAATTCCAACACGAGTAAGCTTTGATCCAAATCAGTGATCTCTAGTTCTCAAAGGCCAGTATACAAGATATCTGTTATACAGATATTTCCCTTGCCAAACAAGGCAAGGGAAATAGCTGAACTGCATCAGTAGGATGCAATTAAGATCTACAGAAATCTGCTAATGAGCCAATGTTGACATCCAAAAGTTTCAGGACAAAGGCCCTTGAGGAGTGGAGCTCAAGACAACTGATCTAATCCATTCCATGCTCTATTTAGTTGCAGCCTTAGAGTCGTCGTGCTGAAAGAAGACAGACCTCGCTAAAGTCTAAAGTGGTTTGCAGCCTCTAACAAATATCCTCCAAGGATTGATTTTTATGAAGCTCAAACTCTGAAATGAGTTGAGTTTTTTTTTGTGTTTATGTCATGTTTATGACAGTGTCATGACAGTCTTATGCAAAATCCTTCAACTAAAGTATTGCCAAAAAATCTTAACAGAAAAGGTGGACATACCCCAGACAAATCACGGCTGAAAGTTTTGCGAGTTTAATGACAGCGCTCCAGTCATCAACATCCAACACATTTTCTAAAATCAGGAAAAAAACTCCAATTGGCAAGTACCTGAAACAAACAAACAAGAAATACTGAACTGATTACAGGGATGTTTTGTACATTATTAATGAATCCAATTTTGTAAACGAGTGAAATGATATACTGTCTTATTTTACCACATAATCCAGTTAAATATGATTTTTATTGCGTCATTGAGGCTTTGAATGGCCTTCACAGTGCTTGTTGCCACCTGTCCCACCCTGTTTATCAAGATGCCGAAGGTGAAAGACCAGATGATCAGTCCTAACATGTTGGGTCCATCAACATAAGTGCCCACCAGTTGAATGTCACTGTCATTCTGCACCGAGAAACACAGAAATACTGGCTGCAATATTCTAAGAGCAATATTGTAGGAATACATCACCTTGTTGGACAATGCATTTCACATTTTCACAATAAATCACATTAAAACCATAAACCGATGTGCTTAATTAACTTTTAAATTTTTAAAAAAAGGACCAATCCACAGCATTGCATAATTGTGAAATATAAAAAATATTATATAACATAGAATTCTTTGTGTATTTAGCTAAACTTTTATGCTGTTTCCTCTTCAGTCGCCCTGTACATCCAGTACATTCCTGTACATTCGCTTATTTTGGGAGGGCAGAGTGAGCGAGCCTGTTCTTTAATGTGAATTCATGAACATTTATGTTATCTTTCAAATAAAATAATCATGTTTATTAATAGAAAATTAAACAATAAAGACGTAAATGCATAATAAATCTACCCCAGTCAAGAGACAATAATAATAATACCACTCAAGTAAAAGAAAGAAGTACAGAGCATTGAAACTACTCTTATCAAGAAAATGTGAAGCCCTCCATCTTTTATCCTCCACTTCAAAATCAAGTACTACTGTTGGGCGACTACTTTAAACCAAACAGAATACTTTGAAGTTTGTGGTTGTAATGTGACAACACTTGAAAAACTGAAAGGCTATATACTTTTGGAAAGTGCTCCAGAGTAAGAACAAAGATCAGAAGGAAATACTCACTAATGGGGGATGGCCAGAAACACTTTTTTTCTTGTAAACAATCTCAGTCTTGTACTGGAAAAAAAATCCAGAAACTTCTTTAAAACTTTCCAAATCCAACATGGAAAGTTACACACTGAGCTGTGGTTCTGAATAAAAACATACCTGCTCATAGAAAGCCTGAACGAAGCTCTCTGGAAACATGTTCCTATGTGAGTGAAAAGAGAGTTACAAAAAAAACAAAAACTGAGCCACATGTTGAAGACAAAATACATGTGAATATTATTTTCTTATCATTTCACATAGGCGAAGATAGTTTTAATTGTTATCTTGGATAATAAAAGTCAATAATCCTCTATGTAAGAAACTATACGATCCACATAATCACCTTCCTAAAAATAGGAAGTTTTTAGGAATGTTTTAAATATATGATGTATATTTAAAACATCATTATTTTAGGAAGGTGACAATGTGCACAATATGCACAAAAACAGGAATTGTGTCTAAATGTCTGTCCTCTTGCCTTAAAAGATCCATGAGAATCACATGAATGGAGAAGTGTGGCATTTCTTTCGTGTTCTCCTGTAATATGAGATCTCCCATACCAGGCTGGATTGTGAGCACCAGAAACAGTCCTGCAACACAAAATCTCAAGCAGAATATTAAAAGCAATAACACAAAGCAAACTACCCCAGCCCTCATAAATCTTTATTAATAATGGCTGACCATAATAATGTTACCAAGAATTGTGGCCAAAAAAGTAGTGCCACAGATGAAGGTTCCTGTGAATACGGCTGTTTTTTTGGACATTTTGGTGTTTAATCCAGTCACTCCTGAGAAAAGAGAGCAGATCCAGAAGTTCATGTGGTGCCTGAGCAATGAACAGGACAACATATGTATCCTAACAACTAATCTTCATCTTTTAAAAATGTTTTAAAAGCATGGGAACTAAATGGTGTGAATATAAAATTAGCTTAATATCTAGATATAATACAATACAAAGGGTTTTGAGCAATATTTATGCAGAATATCCACAAAAAGATGAGTGAGCATCCTTTAAATCTATCTCTGTGACAATGATACGTTAATACTTCAAGTATTTAGATTCATATTTAGCTTGCCTGCAAGGACACTTGTCACAATGAGGGGTACAGCAAACATCTGAAGAATGTTGATAAGTATATCCCCTGGTATTTTTATCCATTTTACTTGATCGTCTCTTAAATACATCATAAACCTCAGCAGAAATCCAGCGCCTAAGCCTATGAGGGAATCACAAGCATAATAGATATGAAGAAAGAAAACATCAAGATGTAGAAACAACCTCAGCTATAGTATACTTTATAACAGTTCAGAGAAATAAATGGGAGTGCTTTCATATAAATATAAAATATCTATTGTAGATTTTTTAATTAAATTATTTTTTTCAGTTTATTGTGAATAGGTTACCAAGAATTATGGCCAAATAGTAGTGCCACAGATGACGCTAGACAAGTGAAACAGGAAACCTGGCATTTATTTTCAAAACATGAGTAAAATAATCACTGACTACATTTTGTTTTCACAATACACCCAGTAACTGGAGGAAAACATAGCAGGTAAAACAAGGTTGAGAATCCACATGGGCAATTAGGTGATCATGGATGATGACCACTGGTGAGTGATCTCCTATTGCATTGGGGTCAAAAATAAGTTCCTGTGATCTCTAGATATTAAGAATTTGAAATTGTTACCGCCACCACTGAAAACAGTTTTTAATTAAATGTGATGTGTCTGCAATGAGGCAGAGAACAGCTGTGTCATCAGAAAATTTGAACATGTGGCTGTTGGGGGTATCACAAAAACAGCTTCTTCCCTGCAGTTGTCAGAATGCTGAACTCCAGCTGCACTTAATTCAGCGTAATTTCACCTTTAAACTTTTATACGCACACACCAAACATTTCATTAGCATATTCAATTTGATAATAATTTTAATTTAACTCACTTCAGCTAAAACCCCAGGTTAAGCACACGTGTTTAACAGATGACCCCCATCTAACTAAGCAGCAAAAACTACTGAGATCAGTACTCACCCATGGCAACCGACAAGAGGCAAACGACCTGAAATACACCCTCCTCCATTGTTTGGTTTCGCTGTGATTTGGGAAGCAGGTCGCTGGCAGCTGTTTCAGTTACTGTTTGGCGTCCAATGCTGGGCAACTAGAAAAGAACGTTCAATCTCTGCGGGTATCTTGGCAACATAAATGACAGATAACTTATGACTGGTTTCAGTAATTTGATGTGTTTGAAGAGCCAATCACGCTATTAACTCATTGAATCAATTTGATTAATCCGTTTTCTAGTGCTCGGAAATATTTTTATTTAACAAAACAGCGGTTAAGCTATTCAAACTGGTTTTAGAAGATCTTGTTCATTTTGTCGTCCAGTCCTGGGATTCCATGTTTTGGAAAAATGCCTGGAAAAGAATTCCAGGTTTCCTTGGATACCTTGAATTTGGTTCAAATGCTAAACAAGGTTGATATTTATTTCAAATAAAAGTAAAAAGACATTGTGTTTCTAATAATATCAGCACATCACAAAACTCTATACGTTATGGACTTTTTATTCATAAAACTGGGTATTTTGACCTGTCTGAAAAACAGACAGCTGTTATTATTCTAGATAGTTATTCTTTTGCTACTGACAGTGTTGTCGGTAACGTGTTCATCATTTCACCTAGCATCCGTCCATCCGAGTCTTTGTCAATCTCTGCATGAATGATTAAAGGAAAGTGTTTGAATTTTAAGGTCATATCATATTCAATGCCTTCCTACAATGATAATTGCATTACAAAATTTATTTAGATCGTTAGTTACATTATTTTCTGTCAGTGAAAGAAGTTGTGAGTTTTCACATTTTGAGTTATAATCATAAATCTTGATATAATCAAGCTCCTATTTCAATATGATGATGTTCCTGAATAGCACACTTATTCAAAAGGATGTCGTTCTCAAATTTGTTTTTAAGTTTTTCAGAACTTCCTTCCTTCCTTCCTACTTACTTATCTGCCCTATCTTAGGCAGCATAGTAACGACAGGGCTCTATTGTGTTCGGCTGACCTATTTTCTGTGCCCTGCTTTTCAGGGCCCACTTTATGGACGCTTAATGACAATGCTAGGTTAAAATCATTTTTACATTTCTCGCAGATAATTAAAGACTAACTTTTAAGTTGACTGGCAATTTATTAAAATCAGCTGATCTCAAGAAAAGATTATATGCAATGTTCACGTGTTCATTCATGAACATGACATTTAGACTTAATTCAGTTATTTTGAATTTGAAAGGAGTAAATCTGTTCATGCAACATGAAGAAATGTATTTATTTACAAAGTATTGTTGTATCACTCAATCAGCTAAATTTTGTAGATAACAACAAACTCCAGAACAGTGTTAATGAATTAGTGATTATAAATAAACAATTTAAAAGTTGGAAAAACATGAATAAAATAGAAACTAAATACAGATGAATAAACTGCTATGACACCATCCTGATAGCAACAATTATATTAAAACAAGGAAATGATCAGCTCAGACACCCCAGGACGCTGACATTCCTGTCCTCAGGCTTTTTATGTAGGGGCTAATATGGTGCTGAGATGATCCCCTCACGTAGGTGAACTACCTCCTGCGGAAGAGGAAGGGATGAGCTCGTTGTCGGACTCCAAACAGAGTAAGTCCAGCTCCAGCTCAGTGGTGGGACGTATGCTAACAGGCAAAATGGAAAACATGGTTAATAGCAATCTGGACAAACTGTGACCAAAATGTCTCATGTCTTTCTACTCAGTGAAAATAACTTATAAAAGTCTACATTCTAGATATTTGCTATATTACATAACAAGAACTTGAGCCCATATTTTACTCAACGTTTCATAGAAAAATACAAATATGTGGCTCACTGAGTGAATACTACAGAAAACACTAACATAATTCAGAACTGGATGTGCACAATGTTGACAAAAGTATTCACTCATCTGCCTTCACACACTCACACACATACACACGTACCCGAGCATCATCCTAATCTCAATCCATGCAGTTACATATGATGTGAGCAGACCGGTAAAGTTCTTCTACCACAAGCTTACGTGTCTGTGTCATGGAACCTGCTTTGTGCACTGGTGCAAAGTCACGTGAGAACAGGAAGAGGCCATTTTCAAACTGTTCCCACAAGGATGGGAGCTTGAAATAGTGAAGAATGCCTTGGTGTGCTAAATCATTAGGAATTTCAGTGTCTTAAAACAAATGGGCTGAGCCCGACTTCTAGTGAACGTTACCAAATAATGAATCCCCACCTCGCCTTCCTGTACAGGCTGAAAACTGCTAACAGTGTTTGAGCAGTTGTTGTCATGTCTACTGACAAACCCAGTTGTTAGGAGACCAAAGTGTATTATCATTACCACATCAGTAAGAACGCGATGCAGCTCCCGCAGAGTAAGACATAAAAAGCAGGACTAAATAATAAAACGGCACTTAATACAGAAATAGAATTCAATAATACAAGAAATAAAATTAGATTCACACATTTTGAGTGTATAAGTAGATCATCTCCTGCTATGATTAGAGGATAGTAATCTGACAGGTAGTCTGTTCACCAATAACCAGTGGTGTTAAAAACTACAGTCAAACTTGTTTGTTTGACCCTTTATTGTCCTCCATCTTCTTCTACAAGGCAGAAGATGAAATAGACTATATTTCACTAGTGTGTTTGATTGTTTCTGATTGTTTGATTTTCACTTTTCTTTCCTGAGTCAAAAGGAATGTAGAGTTCATCGGAGTATAGTGAGGGAGGAGTTAATAATTTAATGACATTGGTGATAACCCTTTGGAGCAGTGGCAGAGCTAGACTTTTTTTCAAGGGGTGGCCAAAGGGTGAGCAAGGCTTTATCAGAGGGGTCCATATACAAATGGACCGTTCCATGGAACGAAAGGAAAAAAAATATTTGTTTCCTTTCGTTCAAAATTAATTTATATAACTAGTAAGGTTATAATTCAACGCTTTCATATGACATAGCCTACTTACATTTCAGTCATTATAAAACTTAATGGTTTTTCACATATTCTTACCAAACACATTTCAAGCAAGAGCTGGGAGATATAAAACATTAGAGGGCAGCATGTGCACTAAAACATATGTTAAAACAATCTCTCTAAAACACGACCTACCAGCAATAGCATGGCTAATATAATAAACGAGGCACTACGCAGCGGTGCACAACCATTTTTTTTTTCTTTTTAGAAATGTATGACAAGTGCCGCCTCTCATTAGGAAGGTAACAGCGGTTACCGCTGAGCGGTAAAATGTAAATACCTGCAAAACTCCTCTCCAGTGTACTCTAAAGCCGCGGATGTGTTTTGGATCAAGCAGGACCCACATGTCAATTTAACCAATGAACAGCGTCGGGCATCGGGCTGCCTTCAGAGACAGTCGGAAATTACAGTTTTCCTGGCAAATCTTTGCCGATCTCATAAGTATTATATTTTAAAATTACCATTTCCAGTGGGGTGGCAGTAGGGGTGGCAAGGGCTCTGTTGGGGGTGGCAAGTGCCACCCCGGCCACCCCTCTGGCTCCGCCCTTGGTGGCAAGGGCTCTGTTGGGGGTGGCAAGTGCCACCCCGGCCACCCCTCTGGCTCCGCCACTGGTGGCAAGGGCTCTGTTGGGGGTGGCAAGTACCACCCCTCTGGCTCCGCCACTGGTGGCAAGGGCTCTGTTGGGGGTGGCAAGTACCACCCCTCTGGCTCCGCCACTGGTGGCAAGGGTTCTGTTGGGGGTGGCAAGTGCCACCCCGGCCACCCCTCTGACTCCGCCACTGGTGGCAAGGGCTCTGTTGGGGGTGGCAAGTGCCACCCCGGCCACTCCTCTGGCTCCGCCACTGCTATGGAGGATCTTTCTCTGTGGAAAGAAAAAGGTCAGCTAGAATGTGTGGCCCTTCTCTCTTGGGAAAAATCTCTTCGGAGAGATGATTTGTCTTCCAAAGTCCAAGAAGGAAAGTCTTTGCTGCATGTTTTTTGATACTTTTGAAGCAGGATTTGAAACTCTAGACAACATGTCCACACTGGTCTAGAGTACAGCAGACAAAATGTAATGCCTGGAATCTACAGGGGGTATCATATCATGGTACCATGCTCAAATTCACTGTTCTTTCTGAGAACATCCTATTTGTTGGATTTCAAGTAGCAGCAAAAAGCACTGGAAAATCTGAATTGATTGATCTGGACAAGGAAGTGAATACTTTCTGCAACATTATGTCTTTGCAGATGAACACATCATTTTAATTATTTCATTTACCTTGTTAATTTGTCCAGGGTCAAGAGCTCATCTTTGCACAGATGACTGATGAGAGCCGCACCATAACAGTCTCCTAGCACATTGACTATGGTAGTGAAATGGCCTCTGAAGAGCATATAAGAAGAGAACAAATATGCTGTCAGACTCAACTATGTTTTTCTTGAAAGTTTTTTGTCCCTCAGTATACAACAACCAAATGCACCAGCTCTTCTCCAGCTTAGGCTGTTCCTGGAAACAAAATTAGTCTCCAAGGGTAATTTTATCAATCATTGCTATACAGGCTCTCCCCACAAGTAGGCGACTCAAGACTCATATTAGTATTTTTGTTTGCAGAAAAAACTGAATGGAGATGTTTGTGCATCTCAGCCTCAATGAGACCTTTTTGCTTCAGTTCTAATTGCAGTCTGTTGGGCTATGTCTTGGTCAGAAATAACTGCAAGCTTTTGATAGCAGACAAATGTAACTCCATCCAAAATGACTACATGACATGATTGTTAAACATGTGTACTGTGTGCACAATTATTATGGAAGTTGTTGTTTTGAGGATTCATTGTATCATTGAACAACTACAGAACTCTCTGTCAATCCAACCCGTTTAAGAAGGGCCCACGAGTTCTTCATGCGGTCTAGGTCTGATGAGGAGGGGGGCCACTTCATTATTCCCCCATCTTTAAGGTCTTTACTGGCTAGCCACATAGTGGAGTACTCTGATACATATGATGACACATTGTCCTGCATAAAAATTATGGTCTTCTTGAAAGATGCATCCTTTTTCCTGAATCACTTCTTGAAGAATGTGTCTTCTAAACACTGGCAGTAGGTTGGGAGTTAATTTTGAGTCCATCTTCAACCCAAAAAGTTGAAGATTGGCTCATCTTTAATAATACCGGCCCATACCGGTACACTGTCTTTACCTTCCTGCCGTCTGATAAGAAGTGCTCATTACTGATCACGCCATGGGTCAATCTATCTGATCCGTCATGAGACACTCTTATCTCATCAGGTCATAAAACTTTTGAAAAATCTGTTTTCAGATGTGTCTTAGTCCAGTTTTGATGTTTCAACTCATGCAGTGGTGATCAGCCGTCCTTACCTGGGCCATGTCTCTGAACTCTGAACATCTTATACTTCTTGGCCCTCAAGGTAGGTTGCAGTTCTGGAATGTCACAGCACTGGAAGATAATGGGATCCTAGAGCTACATGTTTGATTTTTCACAAATTTTTGGCAGTTATTTTACTTCTTTTTTTCTCAACATGCTTCTTGTGTCTCTTTTACTATTTGCAGCAAAACATTTGATGGTTCTGTGATCATGCCCAAATATCTTAACATTTCAAGAGTGATGCATCCCTCTGAAAGACTTTTTACAATTTTGGACTTTTCAGAGTCACTTAAATCTCTTTTTTGGCACTTGTTGCCTGAGGAAAAGAAACTGCCCAATAATTATGCACAATTTGACATACAGTGTTGATCTCCTTAGGCCCACACTCCCTCATTAAAAAAATGCACACCAGCTGACATGTTTATGTTCTAAAACCATTCAAGATTGTACAGCTTGGAATTGGAAAATATGCATAAAAATTATAATTTGGTCAAAACTAAAACTTGCCTAATAATTGTGCACACAGCATAGTAAGTGATGAGTAACAAGTTAAACTTACAAAAACCACTCAAAGAGCAGCAGAAGAGAGGCATTATGTGCAGGTAGTCCCGCAGATGTGAAAATCAGGACAGTGGCTGCATATCCCGTTGCTGGAACACCGACAGCTGCAAAGCTTGAAATGCAACAGGTCAAGCTGCAAGCCAAGCACAATCTCCTTTAATGGAACTGCAAACCAAGTAGCTGGAAATGCTCATGAGCATTTTTGTCTCAACTATAATATACAACTGTATTCCTCTTAACAATCCCAGCATGCATCTTTTCTCAATTCTAGGTATTTCTAGGAACCAACTTACCAAATGGTGATTAACTGGCTGAAATCCAAAAGGATGTCACTCATCTGGGCAAAAAACATGATGGAGATCACTTCATACAGTGCCAACCCGTTCATGTTGATGGTGGCAACTATTGGCAACATGAGCTTGCAGAATCTTGCATTGGCCTTCAAGTTCTCTTCACAGCATTGAATGGTGATTGGAAGAGTGGCGGCGCTTTGACAGAAAGCACATCCTTTATTGGCAAACCGTTTGTATGAGGAAACTACAAAAGTGTCACACTTTGACAACAAACAAACAGAACATATCACCTGGACCCCATGAGCAATGAGGTGAACAAAGCCTTGGAAACCTGAATGAAGATGAGAAAGGGGTTTCGTTGGGTGAACACAAAGTAAATCAATGGAAGAACAAGAAAGGAGTGGATTCCAAGCCTGAAAAGAGACAACAAAATTATGATTATTGTTAAAAACATTCAATGAAAATATATTCACTTAGCTTTCAATGTTGACACTTTATGACAGCTCCATGTATTAGGGAGTTTTTATATGATATACTAACACACAGTAGGAAAATGATGCATAGCTGCACAGTAACATCTACTTAGGTTGATATTTTCTTTTGGGTCTATGCTCCTACATTTTTGAGATTTGCTTTTGAAGTCCTTTTGTTAATAATTTTTAGAAAAATTAAAAAAAAGAATATTTCCTTATATACATTTACCCTCTTGCCTTACCGGCTGGACTGTAACAGTCTTCATAATGCTGTTTGTTCACCAGCAATAACAAAACCTCTTAGGGCTAGAACTTCTGGAGAAAACTGATTGAACTGGACTGAAAATGATTGTATTCGTAAGAACTGATCTTTTTATCCTCTAAGCGTAAGGAAGGAGTAGGAGTAGTACCATAAATACATGTCTTTCCTTTTTAAGCAGAGTTCAGCGCTGCCACCTTAGGAGCAGAAGAAACAAAGCTGCAATGGACAAGGTGGACCTACCCTAGAAAAAGTACCCCTATATATCTGACAAGTTTCATGAACGTGCTCCAGTCATCAATATCCAACACGTGCTCCAGAACCAGGAACAAAAGGCCTATTGGCAAGTACCTGAAACAAAGGACAGTAAAAAAAAAAAAAAGGGGTTAAAGAAAATGAGTGTTTCTAAATTATTTCAACTCCCTGTTTATTAGTAAAAATAATTTAAAAAAAACAGCTTCCTTATGTAAATACAAAAACTGGAATCAAATGTCAGTGGTATGGTCCGAATGATTTGCCCTTTTGTCTGACCTGAACTAATTAAGACAAATTTTTTTTGAGTATTAAAATTTAATCTAAATTGGTAAAAAAGAGAAATGATGTAGTGCTTGATCTTACCATAGCATCCAGTTGTATATGATTGTTATTGCATTGCTGAGGATTCTGATGAACTTCACAGTGGCTTTGGCCTTGATTCCCACCCTGTTTAACATGAATCCGATGGTGAAAGACCAGAAGATCAGTCCTATCATGTTGGCTCCAGCAACATATTTGCCTCTCAGTTGCATCTCAGTGCCATTTTGTTTCTAGAAACACAAATGTGGTGAACCTAACTCTCTAAGGGCAGTTTTGAAGAAGTACAGCACATTGTTGAACAATACATATAACGTTTCCACAAAAAGTCACACTAAAGCTATAAACTTTGATGTACATTATTTTCATTTAGTTTGCAAAATGCCTCTCCAAAGGACTGCATAATTGTGAAATGCAAAGAAACAAATTCAAGGTCTATAAAACCTTTACATGTAAAAATCAAAAAAATTATTTGTGTATTTAGCTGAACCTTATGCTGTAAACCCTTCATTAGCCAATGTACATCCAGTTATCCACATGTGTGCTCATTTGCCTTTCTTCTGCAGGGACAGGGAAGCTGGTGGATGGAGCTAAGTCCAGGAAAATTCAGATTCAGGTTCAAATTCAGATTTATTTATGTCCCAATTGTCCCAATTGTGTGTAACATTAATTGGTGTAACACCAATTGGTAAACTCGACAAAGTTTAGTTTTTAAACATTGTCCTTTAGTTTAAAAACTAAAGGACAAGGTATCAACATTTAAAAATAAAGAATAATGAAACATACCAAAAAAGACATCAAATATAAATCAATACATAATGGGGAGAGTACAGCAGTGTATATGTTGACCGACAGTTCATACAAACACTAACAATCGAATGCAAGTCACCCTACCTTGTCCTGTGTTAAAAAGAAAAATTGCAGTAGGAACAAAGGAGTGCCTGTACCTGCTGCTTTTCATACTAAGAAGTTTGAGACAGAGACCAAAAGGCAGAAACTGGAACTCTGCATGCAAAGGGTGAAATTTGTCAGCAAGAATGGCATTAATTTTGTTGTGTTTATAGAACAGATCTCGGTTGAAAATTAGGACATTCCCCTTGCAGCAGAACAGCCACATTCAGTCCATATCTATAATGGAATGGTTCAGGTGAAAGCATGTCCATATTATGGATCCCTGCAATCAAATCCTGGCTCAAATACATGTGAAAACATCACGTTTGTGGTTGTAATGTGACAACATGTGAAAAAGCTCAAGAGTTATAAATACTTTTGGAAGGTGCTCTAGAAAAAGAACAAAGATCAGGAGAAAATACTCACTACTGAGGGATCAACGGAGAGTCTTCTAGAAGTTCTTAATTGAACCGGAATAATCTCTGTCTTGTACTGCAAAAAAACAAAGAAACTTTTTTTTAAACTTTCCAAATCCAACATGGAAAGTTACACAGTGAGTTGTGGAGCTGAATAAAAACCTACCCTCTCGTAGAAAGCCTGAACGAAGCTCTCTGGAACAATGTTCCTATGCGAGTCAGTGGAGATCCAGACAAAAAATTAGTACTTGTAAATTTTAAAGATACAAAACATGAGGATACTGAAATGGTCTGGCAACCTTTCCAGTGTGTACCCGCTTCTAACCCATTGACACCAGCACCCCTTGCAACCACACTAGGCATAATTGTATTAGATAATGGATGGATGGAACATGAGGATGTTTTTTTCCATAATTTCAGAATTTCACATAAACCAAGAAAGTTTTGATTTATAATTGTCAGAGATAACAACAATCTCTATTTTAACTTCTTCAAATTACAACCTGAATATGCAAACCAGAAATTTTGTCTAAACACTTATCTTCTCACCTAATAATATCCATGAAAAGCACATGCATAGAGGAGGATGGCATGTCTGTGTTAACGGTTCTTCTGTCAAAATCTGTGTAATCCATACCTGGCTTGACCAGGATCACTAGAGTCATTCCTGCAACACAGTCACAGGCGGTATGTCAAAACAATTACACAATACACACTATGACTGTTTTGATAAATCTATGTTAATCTGTGCTGCCCATTATAAAGTCACCAATAGATACGGCCAGAATGGTAGAGCCACAGATGTACGTTGTTGTGAAGATGCCTGTTTTCCCAGGCAATTTGCTTTTTAATCCAGTTACTTCTGAGAAAAGAGATCAGAACCAGAAGTTCACCTGGTGCCTGAGCAATGAGCAAGACAACATACCAGTTCATGCGTGTCCAAGCAATAATCTAAATGTCTGAACTGGTCTTCATCTTTCAACACTTATTAGCCACAAAAAAATAAATGATAAGAATATCAGAATATCAAGTGTTTTGAGCAACATTGATACAGAATATCTACAAAAAAGTGAGCACATTTTAAATCTATTGCTAACATTTACAAGTTTACACAGAAAGTGTCTGGATTTTTAACTTGCCTGCAATCACCCTTGTCACAATGAGAGGGATAGCAAAAAACTCAAGCATGTCAAAAAGTAAATCTCCTGGGACTTTCACCCAATTCATTTGATCTTGAGTGATAGGAACCACATGCCTCAGCAAAAACCCAATGGCTAACCCTAAGGAGAAAAAAAAAATCACAAATATAATAGATATATAATAAAAAATAACATCCAGATGTAAAAACAACCTAAACGTAGACAGACTTCATAACAATCATAAAAAATAAATGGGCGTGCTTTAATATAAATGGTAAATGATATATATGGAAGACATGTTTTATAACATATTAAAGCTTTGATTGGGAGAAAACACTTATCTTTTCACCTAATGAGATCCATGAAAAGCACATGCATAGAGGAGGATAGCATATCTATTTACATACGATGGCACTGACCCAATGTGTGCTTTACGAGGTTTCTTTTAATTATTGTGGTGGTTTTGGGAACTGATAGTCTGACGGGACAACCCTCTGTTTCCCTGTTGTTTGGTCATTTGTTACACCAAAAGGGTTAAATGATTTAGCTTTGGTTTCAACAAAAGCAAAACTTAGTGACTGTGTAAGGAGCCATTAGGAGGCCCCCTAAGTGGAACTTTTGATTTAGTAATAATTTCTATGTGATTAGATTCACAAAAACAAGTTTTAATAATATTTGACCATATAGAAATCATTCTTTATATTGGCCAAAATAAAAAAATATATATATTGCTCTTGGGGCCCCCCTGGTGGTCACCCTAGGCCACGCTTCACTATGAGCTGCAGTGCAGGATTCTCTCTTTCTTTCTCTCTCTCTCTCTCTCTCTCTCTCTCTCTCTCTCTCTCTCTCTCCCTGATTATGAAACCATCTCATTGGCACCGCTTTTATTTTCACCAATTTTTGCTCTGTCAATGGCCTTCTTCCCCAATCACCCGCCAAGTTTCTTTAAAAGTCTCTTCTTCAGTTCTTCTCTTGCCTATATTTTTTTTTTGTTGTTGTTGTTGGGTTTTTTTTGCCACCAAACAAGGTTTTGTCTCTACTGTTAATCCACTGTTGTATGCAATTTGCAAGCATCCTGAGCATTAAAAAATAAGTTGAATGAGAAATAATTCAGAAAATTCACACAATCAGTTATAAGAAGAAGACTTATTCTCATAGTAACGTTTCCTGTTTCGGCTGTCACAAACAGGTATACTTGGGCCAGAGAAATTGATAAGATATCTGAGGATTCAAATTTTCAATACATTTATGGGAATGTACTTATCAGCTTAAACAGTTTTATTTTGATGTTTATAAGTATAAGTGGGTAGTTGATATCTTACATTAAAGATGAAGACCTGGCACCTTAAAAATAGGAGACTTTTTAGTTAAAGAGTATTTATGTGTGTCCACCCGTATTTATGTGTTTCTCTGTGTCTTGAAAGCCCTTGTGTGAAAAGATGCCTGGCACATATGAAAATAATAGACTTTATGAAATGAACAATAAGAACTTTTCTACTTCTATCAGAAGTAGAAAAGAAGTTAGTACTTACCCAAGCCAATCATCAACAGGGAAAAGCCCTGAAACAGGCCCTCTTTCAATAGAATCATTTCACGGTGGAGCTGAGACAGATGCGCCAGTCAATCACAGCTGTTGATGAGAACCAGTTGCTGGGAAACTACGACATTTTTGTCCCCCTTTTTAAAAAATGCTCTGAAAAACCATATTTGGTCTCCATGGGCACCTTGGTACAATAAATAATACTTTTTACTTCTAATCAATATTTTTTTAAAAAAATACATTAGATTTTCAGTAATTTGACCTGCTTGAAAACAAATCATGTTTCCATTGAATCAATTTGATTCATTTATTTGTTCACCGAGACATCTTTGCTTTTACAGTGTTTCAGTGATTTGTGAAGTTTCTGGTTTAGGAAGATCTTATTCATGTTGGCATCTAGTTCTGGGATTCCATTTTTTGGAAAATGCAGAGAAAGGCATGCCTGGTCTCCTTGGATACCTTGATTTTGGTTCAGATATTCTAAACAATGTTTCTAATAATTTAAAAGACAATGTATGCACAATGAGCAGATTAGACCCACAGGGCCTAAGTGGTTTGGATGGTTGATACAACAGCAACAGGTCTTTAATGTATTTTGGTGCAAAGCTGTTAAGAGATTTATAAACCAACAAAAGTGTTTTAAGGTCTAGTGTCAGATAGTGTTTTTCCCAAATGAAGATTTTCCCTGTGCTCTCATAATTCTACCATAACACCTCTAGCTCATGTCTCTTAAACAGCTGGCAATCGTACGGCTTCAAGCAAATCCTCCTCTTCCAGACACCAATTTACATCTTGGAACTTCACCCCCATCAGGGCCTTGACATCCCATTAATTGTCCCCCTTAAAAAAAACAAAGGAGACACAGCCTTTGTGCGACTCCAGGACTTTGGAACTCCCTTCCTCTTTGACGGATCTCCACCTTTGCGTATTTATAACCTGTGTAAATAAACTTTTGCTGATCCATTTTCTTGAGTCGCACCACAAGAGTATGAATCTGATACTCTGCCTCTCAAAGCAGGGTAACCAGAAGGTGTCAGCAACGCCACCTTGGGAATTGCGCCCAAGGAAATAGATCTCTTATGGATGAGAACAAGACTTTATTCCACCAAAAAAAAATAATTACACTTTATTGTTCCATGTTTTAAAAGATAATTAAAATTTAAAGAACCACAATGGGAAGGGAATGCATAGCAGAAGGGGGAGGGCAGTCCAAATGTGAGGAACTGGTTTCTAAAACAAATGAATAAATCCAAATAAATCACCCCAAGCACTTGGGAACAGACACTTGATTGTGATGAAATCCCAACACCGGTCACTCGCACAGCACAGAGGTCCAGTCCTCCTGGATGCCCCCCACCACCTTCAGCTCTCAGCCTGGAGACAAGAGGGTCGAGTTAAACAAAGCAAATACAAAAAAATAAAAATAGACACTACAATTTAATGATCCACTGATTTACTGATGTTGGGAGGAAGCAGACACCCACGGTGACTCACTGTACCTTCCATTTTGACCCTGTGGCTCCCTCTACTGGTAGGAAAAATTACCCCGGTGACTCTTGAAAAGTCTAACTTACACTATGAGGAGTCTTTGTTTCCTCAAAGGTTAGTTCAAAATCCTCCACTTTTTATTGAATATAACCATAATTAAATGGCAGACGGTTTACTTTCCTTCTTGCAAACTTAAATCCTCCACAAGACGATTCAACCCAGACAAGTAAAACACAAAAGTTGTTGATTTTTTTTTTTTTTTTTTTGCACACTGTGTGCTCAATTTGTTGTTTTCAAATGATACATCAAGTTAAAACGCACCATGTCCAATTTATATCTATAGCTAGACTTAGTGTGGGTTTTGCTTGGTGGACATTCTATACCTAATATCATACTGCCACCTTGTGGATAAAAAGAGGAATAGCTTCAAATCTAAAGAATTTAAGTGACATGATAGTTTATTTCATACTTATTAAAATTTAGCATAACCCCTCTCCACATGCACATTAATGTAGCTTTTCTTAGTTATAACCTTAATGTCAAGTTTCGCTCCACCCAGTCTAAGAAAGCCCACAATGCAGCAGAGTTTCCTCCTTAAGGCATGATGAGATCTGTCCTTCATTGTAACCGATTTCAAATGGTGCTAGAAAGAGAAACAGACTCTGAACACCAAAAGAAATCAGTCAACCTTGGAGATAGGACAAAGGGTCTTGAAAAGTGAAAAACATCTTGGTAGACATGACTTGGAGCTCAGAAACTTGACGTTCTTTAAGGAGTGAGTCTCAGAGTTGCGTGTGTTTCTTTACATTTCATTATTCCATATCTATGGTGACGAGCTTGCTGTTGCTTCTGCCTTCTGCCAGTGCAATGAAACACTTCCCACCCAAAGAACACTGATTTCAAATGGTGCTAGACAGATGACAACACTCTAAGCCACCATCTGAAACCAGCTTCCAAAGGGGGCACTACTGGTGAAATCCATCAGCAGTGTGGAATAATCAGTTGAATCTGAAAAAAATAAATAAAATAAATAAAATAATAATAATAATAATAATAATAATAATAATAAAAAGTGTTAATTTAAACAGGAATTAAACAATTTTTTTACATTCTTTATCATATGATTGGAAATTTACCCATGCCATAACATTGTGGCATGGTTTTGTATGCACCCCATCTGATGCATTGATGGTAGAACCACCTTTTGCTGCAACTTCACTTGCAAGTTTTATGTGATATGTATGTTGGTTTGTTTAGCAATTTTGGACTTCTAAAGGCTAGACATTTTTGTCAATTCTTTCCAAAGTGTCTCAAGTTCAGTTGGACCGCATGGAGATTTTCTGCAAATATTCACTTTCAAGTGTTGCAACATATTTTCATCTGGATTTAGATCCAGAATTTGGGTCACTCTAACAACAACAACATATATTTTTGATCTACACTATTCTATTGTAGCCTCCCAGGCACAAATGTCTCTAGCAAGTTTTCCTCCACAGTTGTTCTGTTTCTACACCAGAAACAGAACAACTGTTTCTGGTTGATGGTGTACATCAACCATGTACACCATATTTCTCAGTGATAGTTGTATAAGTTGAAAAGAAATAAGAAAACAGTTTGTCATGTGAATGAGCGTGTTGAAGTTCAAGAAAACTTTTCCAATAAGTTGCCTCATCTGTTTATTGGGGATAAATACTTATTGCAGAGTAAGTACGACTACAACATATCTGACAGAAACAGTAAATATGGAGTTGTGCAGATACGTTTGAATCCTGGAAGCAAATTTGCACGTTTTCAAATTTGCAGTAACTTTAAGTCACACTTGCTTAGTCATACATAATGTAAACTTGTTGAGGTGTAGGAGTTGTATACAAATGCATATTTTTGTGGATGAAAACTAAAAGTCATTTATTTCACTCATTGTCTGCAGATGTGAATTATGCATCAACCAAACACCCACAATACTATGACTCAGAGATCCATGGCATCTACTCACAACAGAGTTATACAGAGGTTCTCTGTTTCAGCTGGGATTGCTGACATCAGTAATATTTATAATACTGCACCTTTGGGAGCAGTAGAAGTAAAGTCAAAGTTAAAAGCTGCATCATTGGAGACTTTAGTGCCTAAAACAGGGCAGATCCACACTTTTGTGTTTTACCGAATAAATTAAAGCCCCATTACACAACGAGATGAGTGTCCAGTTAGGCTTTCAGAATCTGTAAGGGATCACCAGCAGGGATGATTCAGGTGTAATTCATCTAGGGGGGCACTGCATTCCCCTGTGATGTACATAGTATCAGCCTTAAAGGTTGAGTGACTGGTGAAGCTCGTGATCCGAGTCAGCAGCTGTTTTTGATTTTGAAATGGCTCGTTGCCCAGGGCATTATTGTGTCAGGGGGCAGAGCGGAAGCTTGAAAAGGAAAAAGACTTTCCATCATGTGCCCTGCAGACATGCTTTCTGCTATTTATTTGCATATCCAGTCAACATAGTTATGTAAATAAGACATGGTCTAAACACTGTACGAGAAAATGAAAAAAAACCTGAACCTCCGTTTATGGACTCTAAAATTTATATTCTTAAATTTAAAGGACTATTTGACAGTTTTATGTATTTTGGACATCATTTGATCACCTAGTCAAAAAGCTAAGTAATGCAGATCAGTAAAACCTGAGCTGGCTTTTTCTACAGTAAACAGAAGAAGTTTAAAACTCTTTCAAAGAGAAACCCCTTCATTCTATTTGTAAAAAATCTAAAATGAACATGTAGATTTTTTTTTTTATATCATAAATACGTTTTTAGTGACAAGACAAGAACAAAAGCCACTGTTAATAAGTAATGAAACATAGATGGTAGTTACCTTTTCGTTGATTACACGTTAATCAGGAAACGACAGATTCATTCATGGGTTTGTATCAATCATGCAAGGTCCGCCACCGACTGCCAGCATGAACTCCAGGGTGGTTTAAGACACAGGTTTATGGACTCTGGGTCATAGTCTGTTAAAAAAAATGAATTAAGGGAAGCAGAGGAAGTAGATAAAGACATCAAAAGCAAATGATTAAGTGAAAAAGCACTGTAAAAAAGCCCTGTGGACTTCTCAGTCACTCTTTTCCCTCTAACACACCCACACAAGTCATCTGAAATATAATCCAAACTACATGGACGTTGAAGGACCAAACAACAACAGCACATGCACTCAAAATACTTCCTCTGTGTTGTATACCTCTGGCTTACAGACTCACCTGCATACAAACAAGATTAATCCCGTTCTCTCTATTGCTTGGAAGAATAGAGGATAGTTTGTTAGTCTCCAACCCCTACAAGAGGAAACGAGGAGGGAAGTAGCAGTCAATTGCTGGCAATGAGAGCCATGACGCAGAAGCAAAGCTACAATGCACAGAGAGGGTGGGGCAAGGACAGGTAGTGGCCAGTTCACTGACTTGTTGCCAAGTACCTCAACTAAGTAGAAAACTAGCCAACCATCTCTAATTTCCTTGTTCTTTAACCCTGAAGTTTTCGCAGTTAATATTCAGGTGAACAAGCTATTGAGAAACTGTAATTTTTACAAGCAGGTAAATCAAGCAAATCCTGTCCCAGCCTAGAATAGTCACAACAGGAACTTTTCCACAACATTTACGAGCCATTTATCAGGCTTCAGGTGGACAAGGCCGAGCCGTTTGTTACCGTGAGGGAGTATTAAGATGTTGTATTTGAGTCTGTTTGCATGGTAGCCACAGTGACAGCTCTGATCAGAGGGCCTCCCTTGGCCATAGGTGTCTGATTCCTTTGCCTGGCTCGCTCCACCCTGCCCTGTTCTTTTTCGGGTTGTTTGTTGCTTGTGTGCTACTCGACCTGTTGTGTAATGCTTATAAAAGATTTAAAGGGACAGGAGGCCTTGGGAGAGTGATAAACGACACATTTGCAATGAGACTGCAGAGCACACAAGGAAAATCAGTGGGGATAAATACATGTCCACATTTATAGAGAAACTTTCACACAGCAGTACATTTTTAAGTTTGCTCTTGGAGATTAAACTTCACCACAGTGAAACACATAGAGAAGCAATTAACTTGACAAAACTTGTTTTGTTTAATATAAATTGATTGTGTACAATGGTACTTTATAGACCTTTGGTCTGTATAGTAATTCTACATAGCTCTTTATACAACAATCAGGCATAACATTATAACCCCTGGCCTAACAGTGCACTGGGCCCATTTTTTGTAGCCAAAATAACAAAGGATGAACTTCACAAAGTGCAATCCTTTTCTCAGCAAATGAGACTTATTGCTCACACATCATACAGATCAATTGGATTAAAGATCTGGGCATCTGGAGACCAAGTCAAAATCAAGTTCTTGTTTGGTACTAGTACACTGTTCTGAGCCTTGTAGTAAAGAACATTATTATTAAAAAACATTAAGATGCTAAAGCTAGTTAAAAATGCCAATCATATGATGACCCAGACATCTTTGTTTTAAAATCATAATATACATATTTTTTTCAATAATTGCCCTTTCATGCAGCAGTGAGCGGTAGCATTACTC